AAAAAAAAAAAAAAAAAAAAAAAAAAAAAGAAAAAAAGAGTTTACTGGAACAAACATCAAACATGCTATAGTTTTATACACTAAAGTTTCAAGCAAACAATAAAATATTATAGTTAACAACAGGTAGTTAACGAATAATTTATAGTTGTTTCTTTACTTTTTTCTAATTCGTTTAATTTGATTGTTTTCTACTCGTATAGTACAAGCAGTAACCTCTTGAGCTAAATTTATCTTAACAACAAATATCGTCACTGCATATTTCTTAATTTCAGATGACATTTAAAAAGTGACTTTTTTTTTTCTTTTTTTGTTGTCTAGCTTTATTTTACTGAAACTAGTAGGTTTAATATGGAAAAAGAAAAAAACAGATTATAAAACAAAAACAATTACCAAATTTATTGTGACCAACTTGCTGAACTAAAACCAATAAAAAACCCGTTTAGTATGGGCTTAGAATTTCTGCTGAGAAAACTATTTAAGTGAGTTGGACTCGCAACATTTCAGCATCTTACCTGTGTTCTTCAATTTTGTCGTTTAATCGAGTATCTGGTTGCTCTTTTCTGGTTTTTCCCAAATGATTCTGCGTTGACTTTTTTACTCTTATTGAGTATAACTAATAATTACGCTTATTAAACCTTACAAATTCATGTCTCTTATTTTTCACATATATTTATATATTTATCTATCATAAATCAAAAAAGTTTTTTTCGCATTGTTTTTTTGTTGCTTGTCAAAAAAGCGTGTTGTTTTGTGATTATGTTTCTACAAAACGCAACAGATAATTTTTTTCCAAAAACAAATAAGACTTAGATTTTTAAAAGCATTTTTAACCAAAAAATTAATTATTCTTATAGAGTAGACGTAGGTGTAAACTTTGATAAAACTGATTCGTTTTAACGTTATTTAATGCTGTCGGTTCTTTACTTTGCAGTTTCTGTTTCAGTTATTTTCACGATGAAATATCTATTACTAATTCTTGCCGTTGCTTTGCTGTTTGTCTTCTCGGAAGCGCAATGGGGTAGGTTTCCTACTTTGTATTTGATCAATTAAACTGTGCAGCACGGTAATGGCAGATACACTATTACTAATAAGATGTTCTGCTTAACGCTGTGACAGAAAAAAAAGATGGTAAACGCTTTTTTTAGGTTACGGAATGTACGGTTACCCAGGTTATGGTTACGGTGGATACGGTGGTTACGGTGGTTACGGATATGGACGACATTATCGTAGAATGTTAAGGCGGATGTATGGAATGTATGGACCCGGTTATAGCATGTGGGGTTAAACAATACGTGCAATAATTAAAATTTTATTTTATATTTGATCAACTGTACATTATTTGTTTTCACTTTTGTGTACTCATGAGACAACTCTATTAACAGCACTTTGGATCTGTCATGATCATTGCAATAAATTTTTTTATATTTAATTTAAATGACATTAAATGACATTCCTCTTTTTTGATAAAAATAATGCTGTTTATTTAAGCAGCATATTGCCAAACTGAAACGGTAAAAGAAAATATTCTTAAAATAGTGGTAATGCTTCAGTTACAACTTTATTTAAATTAAGTGTAAAGGTTGACTACGACACCTACTCATTAATCAAAAAACACTCATAATAACGGTTATTTCGGCTGATAAAAATTCCGTTTCATATAAAGTATCTTCAATTTCAAGAAAAGAAAAACGAATTGGTAAATGGCAGCAGAATGAAGAATTGATGCAAAAACAAAATACGATGAAATTTTCACCAAAGGTCTACTCACACTTTTACGTGGTTTGACAGTTCAAATAACGAGAAAAAATCCATTCTATTCGCACTTCTAAATCAATGTGTTACGCCGCAACGAAATATAAAAAGACAAAAAAATACTTTTTTGACATTATAGAATAGTACAAAAATTTCCAAAAAATTACAACAACTCAACAACTTATTTTAATTAGGCTTTGATCACAAAAGACTGCAGTAAATTTTTAACTTTAGCTATTCTTCTGCAATGTACTGCTGAAATCGTGATAATATCTGAAGCTGTAAGCTTTGAGCAAAGTCTTGCACTGCCAGCACTAAAAGCAAACTGGTGATACTGCTCGTCTACTTAAAAATATCAAAATGATTTTGCAGTAATGTTTGAGATGAGGACAAAGAATATAAATAAATATCCCTAACAGTACCAAAATAAGTTTTCTTGTAAATTTTTTCAACATTAATAAATATGTTTTAAATACACTTTTGCGTTTGAACACCGTCCATCTAGTTTTTAGGTACAATTAGAAAAAATATTTTGTAATCAATTCTTGACAAATCAGCCTTACTGATAGTATATCGTACTTTGTCACCCTAAGCAGAACTGTCATCTAAATTGTCTAGCACTACTACAGCATCTACCAATAACCTGAATTTCGGGTAGAACTGATAATAGCTAGTAGTTGGAAGAAGTTTGAAAGCTCAAATTAAACGAGTTTATGAAATGATTTTATCAAATGCAATAAGTAAGTCGACTTTTTTTTTTTGTAATGAGAAAAATAGCCAAAGAACAAAAAGTAATCGTGGGTGTGGTAGTTCCTTCCTGACTTCGTTTGTTTTTAACCACCTGCTGTCAGTCTCTCTGGTACTTTCTCAAAGCAGTAAATGTCAAAATTTGCAAAAAAAGCTAGTTTTTTGTTACTCGCATGAATTATATTTACACCATACTATTTCCAGAGTTGATTCAAAATTTATCTCTGTATTACTCATTTGTCTTGATCACAATGTTCCTCCTAAATTTCAACAGTCCAACATCATTTTGAAATATTTATTAACAGTCAAACTGTTTAAACCCACTTTCACGCACTAAAACGCAGTAGACTCAGTTTGAAGCGTACAGCTGGCTTGAAGGACCGACATTGAAATAGTAATGACTAAGTCTTCCCTCAATATTTGCACATCTTATAGATTTGAATTAATGTTTAATTATTTTCACTATTATAACCTAAAATCTTCAAGGGTTTTTGCAAGACGTTTTCTTCTGGTCACCTAATTTTATGACGAGTATGGAGTTCAGCTGTTTGTACAAACTCCGTACAGCCAAGATCTAATTCCTTCAAAGGTAAACGACAAAAATCATACTAATCATCCGAAAAAAAATCTTTTTAATTCAGAAATGAAGAAAAAAACAAAGTAAAATTAGACAAAAAAATTTATCACAATAGTTTCAGTTGTCTTCGCTTTTTTTAAAATATAATCCTTGGAAAAAAAGGAACACTTCATAGAATCAGAAAACTCATCAAAACAAAAAAATAAACAACAAATAAACGAGCCACGAACTAACAGTGAATACAACAGTCCTTTGGTACCATTGTTAAAAATCTGTCTTTCTTTTTTTTTTCTTCTCCATATCTCTTAAACTTTACGGTTTGTGGTGATAAAAAACAATTTCTGAACGATGATTAAACAGCAAAAATTGTTTTTCTGTTTAGTGACTGTACTTCATTTTCTCTAAACAAAGCAAATTTATGCCTTCACCAATACATTTATCTTTTTTCTCAAAAATTTTCTTTTGTTTTCCCAACTTTTTCTCTCAAAAACCTTCCTCTGTTGTTGGCAAGCAAAACTGTCCGCGACAAATTCACTGAATACAATTGCTGGTCATTTTTTGCAGACCAATATAATAAAAGACTGTAATCTTTTCCTGATTATTTATACATCTAACTTTCTGTTAATGCTTCCAAAATGACAAAAGTTCTACTGCTGTACAAAAAATATTTCCTTTCTGTTCTTGTGAGACATTTAATCATCGCATAAGCAAGAAAATAGAGCGGCTACCAGTAAAAATATAAATGAAATTATAATTAAATCAAGAAGAGAGAAAAAAGAAAGTAACAAATGCGGCTTACTTTATTTTGTTCCATTAAGAAAACAGAATTACAAAGAAGGAATTTTTTTCTACTTCTTAAGCTAAACAATAAAACTCTCCTCTACAAGCTACAAAACTAGGTGTCAGAAAATCTAGTAGCAAAATCTGGCAGAGGTCAATCATTCTGGTAAATTAATTTACGAAATCAAATTCCAGCTTCTAGAAACTCCACAAAAACTCCAATTTAAGCAAAAACTTGCTTTTTACAGAAATAAAAAATTTTACTGTCTTAACACTCTCTACCGTACGCTTAAAATTAAGTCCAAAATTCCCTCCCGCTCCCCCGCGGCTGTCAATTACGATCAAACAAAAGAGCTCCACAGAGGTGGTACCCCGACGCCAAAAAGTATCATTTGCTGTTTCCAGCGACTGTCAATTAACTAAATAAAATATTTGGATGCGAAAATACTTAAAGCTAGAACTTATTCGACATCCATTTTTTCTACAACCCGAAAGTTTCACTGCGAATCACACGCAAATGAAACAAACAAATTTTGACAAGTAGCAAAAGTTTGAGGCAGGGCGAAGGAACCCCAACTTTCACCAAAACTACAATGATGGTAGCAAATAAAAATTTTTCTATTTCTTCTGTAAACTTAAAATTAGAAAGACTTTCATTCCTTTAATGAACTATCAACATTACAAGTATATAAACCGGCGAAGATAAGTATGACAAACATACTGAATACAAAAGCGAAGGAACTATACAGAATGCCGTAACTGTACGCGAAATGTTACTCAGCGAACAAAGTCCACAAGAAAATTTACTTTCCATATATCGCTGAAGATCCGGCGAGAAGCGTCTGCTAAAACAGTTCCAACTTTTCGAATGTGAAACATGAATCAAATATAGGAGTCACTTGTCATATTTTTAGGTTCCTTTTTTTTCTTTTTTTTTCCTATATTTTTTTGTACGAGCTTGCTGCAGTTCCCAAAGACTTCTTGTTCATTCAGAATGTTCATTCCGGAACTAGTTTATATTTATTAGAATGCTTCAAGAATGGTTTGCTTAAAATTTCAGTTGAGCCAAATAACTCCAGAGCTAATAGTCATTCATTCGCATGCGCCTATGTTCTTACACTTCCAGAAGACTTTGCCTGGGACTAAAATACAGAACCGGCTTATACATGAAAAAATGCTAGAAAATTAATTTATCTAAACGACCTTTTCAATTAGAGACTACCGATTGCTTTCTAAACTATTTTTCGTTATTTTCAGCAATTCCGTACTTCGTCCCTTCCGAAGGACTTCTTGTCTAGTCGAAATATTCATTCCAGAATCAATTTGTATTCACTGCATTTTATCAAGAATTTGCTATCCAAGTATACTTGTCAGTTCCAAAGTCATCGGTTGTTTTCTACGGGTTACACGCCAATTTTCTACGCCACTCTGTCTTTAATTGCACGAGTCCTTTGCTATTCTAGAAAATTTTTGTTATTTTTATAGTCTTCATTTCCGAGTCAGTCTCTGCTCATTACTAAGCTCCAGAAATGAGCTGATTATTTTGATTCTGCAAAGAAAAACGATTAATAACTTAAAAAACCATTGGTAATATCTAACCAGACAGATTTTTTGAATAACACTTCAAAGAATAACAGGCAAATTCCCGAACGGACAACATAGGCAGAAGTCCTCTGAAAATGCAAGAAAGGCGAGGTTACGAGAAAAGAACGACCAGTAACTTGAAAAAATGATTCATGGTTCCCAAACAACTAGCATTGCTAAACTGAACCTTCTTGTAAAGCATCATTTCCGCTTCAGGATGAATGTCCTTCCTCAATGGAAAAAGTTTTCGGAACTGGAGTAGACTTTTACAGACAACAAATAGCAGTTCAAAAAAACCCTTGAGTCAAGATTTTGACCAGTAATTCTACATAAACTAACATAGTTCAGCTATAGTTCTCAAAGCATTCTAATGGTTAGACAGTCTT